GCGGGCTGGGGGCGTGGGTGGCCGGCGCCGGGGGTTCTGGGCGCTCGCCGTCCGGCCTGGCAGCCTGGGGGAAGCAGAGTCGGGAATTATTTGGGAGGTGCCGGCTTTTGCTGCCTTTCTGGGTTTTAAACCCCTTGATTCTGAGCTGTCAGCGTTACGGTAACGTTTATCGCCGTAGAGTTAAGGGCACTTGACAGCCAGCTTACTTTTGGAGACTCCAGGTGGGTATTTGTCGTTGGGAAGATGAAGGCAAATTCTGTTTAGTTCAATAAGGAATTGAACAGAGGGACAGCAGAGATGTGGCGTCAGACCGGATAGCGTGTCTTCCTGTTGCATTAACAGGGCTCTAACCATGAATTCCCGAGGTCAAAACCATCACTCTTCCCTCTTCCGAAATGCCCGTGTTTCCCCCAGTTCACGCGTTGCTGACAGAGGCTCCGCCAGGTCGAGTTAGTCCCAGGTCGTTCTTGCAGAACCTGACTTCCAGCCAAAGGGCCGCGGCTCTCCGCAGAACAGGCCGGCTTGGGTGTCGTGGGGAGCTGCTGCTGGGCACGTGGGAAGTTTGCTTCACACTCTTCCATAGGATGTTCGTAGCGGTGGGGATGGCAGTACCTTGTGGAAGATGCTCTCTAGCGAGTAGAACTTCACCTCGCCCTCAGCTGTAAGGGGTGTGCTCAGGTGGAAACTCGGCAAGTCTGTAACTAACGTAGCTGACATGCAGCCTTACTCTTGGTTTTAATTAGGTTTTAATTAGCATCAAGCGTGCTTTTCACCGAATAGAAGGAATTTTTAGAAGCTAATTGTATTGCTTGTTACTAAATGTGATATTTTAAGTCATGATACTGAAATAAATTAGTAGGGTTTACGCTCTCAGAATTTCGAATTTCAGTTTAATTTCTCTGCAGTTAAAATTCCGCAGCACATACCTTTTCTACGCTGAGTCATGTGTAAATAAACGTAAATACCTTCCCCGTTAATGTTGCATATAAACTCCTGAGAGTTGCTTTACTTTGAGAGAATGGTTTTTATTAACCTCTGTTAACTTTGTGCCAATGGCTAGAAGAAAAGACAACTAAATAGCTCTTTTCAAATTGCAGGTCACGCTTTGGCACATAGTACGTTCTGCTTCTGGCGTGTGCTTTCCTTTGCCTTACGGATTTTCACTGAGGAAAGCAGCTCTTGCTGGAGAAACTAGGGGAAGGCCTCTTAGCTGTCAAATCGCGTTGGTTTTGCACACAGGTTTGATGTGGGAATCCCACTTGAAAAGTTTGGGAATTGGGTGGTTATTAGCCGTACCCCTAAATCCTTCTGTGAAGTGAGCCTGGCAAATAGGGGACTGTAGGCGTGAAAATTACTGGGGCGGGTAGCTTTGACAGCAGTTTAACGTCAAGGGGGATGCCTGATAGACCATTTTTAATCTTAAAAGTGCTTAGCCACACACAAGGCGATTAAAGGCACAGAAGCAGCTGAAGCCAGAGGGAAGTGCAGCAGTGTTAAGTGACAGATATGCAAACTTTACTAAATCAAATTTCTTCGTAGCATCTTTTTTTCAGGGAAACATTTGGAATGGAAAACAGGTTTGTTGCACAGTGTCACCTTTTAGCGAGTCACGGTATCCTGCATGAGTTTTTCCTTGAAATCTTCTAAAAAAACAGTTGACTTTAAACCTAGAACTTCTCACAGATTTTTCTGCATACTGAGGCTTCGTGTGATTTTCAAAGAATAGGTAAAACAGTTTCACAAATCACCTGTTCATCTGCCAAAAATACCCTCGGGAAACCATTTCCTTACAACTTGAAACGTACCATCAGCAGAATCTTACCCAGACTTTGGAGTAACTTTTACCCATTATTCAAAAAAATGCCATTAGAAAAGTGTAACTAAAACCACATTGTAATATTTTTTACTTGGAAGCGTTGTCAGTTCACGTTCTTTTTCTTGCAGCGCCTGCCAGCGTTCGTTTCGTCCATAACGACGTCGCGGTGCCGGACTTCTCTGCCTATCGTCGTCGGGATGTGCTAGATGCCACCACGTCTTCTCAGAGAAGCAGTGAAGCTCGAAAAGGCTTTTCCTACCTGTTGACCGCAACGACCTGTGTAGCAACCGCGTACGCAGCTAAGAGTGTGGTCACCCAGTTCGTGTCCAGCCTGAGCGCCTCTGCTGACGTGCTAGCACTGTCAAAGATCGAGATCAAGCTGTCTGACATTCCAGAAGGCAAGAACATGGCTTTCAAGTGGAGAGGGAAGCCGCTCTTTGTGCGTCACAGAACCCAGGCAGAGATTAATCAGGAAGCTGAAGTTGATCTGTCTAAACTGAGGGATCCACAGCATGACTTAGACAGAGTAAAGAAACCAGAGTGGGTGATATTAGTAGGTGTCTGCACTCATCTGGGTTGTGTACCCATTGCTAACTCTGGAGATTTCGGCGGTTATTACTGCCCTTGCCACGGGTCCCATTACGATGCCTCTGGCAGAATCAGGAAAGGTCCCGCTCCCTATAACCTCGAGGTTCCGACTTACCAGTTTCTTAGCGATGATGTAGTGGTTGTTGGCTGAATAACGAGGTGCTTGCTCACGGTCGTGTTCCTCTGAATGTACACTCAAAGGGTTAATTGAGATTGTGGAATGCTGTAAAACCAGATGATCCTGATAACTATTAGCTGTCTAGATCCTCAACCAGAAGTATGTTCGAATACTTCCCCTGTGTTCAATTTTAATAAAAACTTGGAGTGAGCACTTGTTCCTGACTTAAAGTAACGTGTGGTTTTTCTATGTGCTGACTCGTAGCGGCTCCAGTGAGAGATTTGACAGCACACCCAGAGTATGTTTATGGAGACCCCCTGAAGTGCTGCTGAGTCAGGGCAGACACTGAACTACAAAGCCATTGTTTCCTTAATACCACGTATTTTCACTGTTTGGGGGGTTTTTGGTTTTATTGCATTATAGAAAGAAACCAGATCTTGCTATGAACTTCTGTGTTAGGAGTAAGTTTCAGTACGGAATCCTGTCAGACATCATCTTTTTCCTTCCAGTGTATCCTTTTTGTTTGTTTTCAAAGGAAGTGAAGGAGAAAGTAAATAAAAACCTCCCTTGAAAGGAAACTTTCCCGTTGTTCAGTGGCAGCTTGTAACAGTTTACCTAGAATGGTAACACCGTAGAGATGACGTAACAGATGGTGAGAACCACCCCTCTGGGCGAATCGCTAAGGTTACAGGTAGCAAGAGGTCGCGTGGCCATCAGTAATGTTTTAAGACTCGGTGTGTGTCAGAATTACTGTTTCGTATTGTCTGTAGCCTAAGCTCAGTGAAGGCCAAAACTGAAATCTCTTACCGTGCTGCCGACTCCGAAGGTGCGGAGAAACAAGTGCGGCTGGAATGGGATCTTTCAGCAGTGTCCACCCGGCCGGCACACCACCAAGTAATTGCCTAAAAGAGATGAGGAGAAACAAGGTTTGCTGCTTCCAGAACAACAACAAACCGCCCCCCCACCCTGTGTCATTCCTGTTTGTTTCCTGTTCTGAACTGCTGTTCCGTACGTACTGCCGTCTCCCGCTGCGGTACCGTGCTCTTCCAGTTGTAAACCAGACGATACAACCCTCGGAATTCTCTGGGTCTGGAGCGTTTAGCCTCAGACACCTCATAAAAGCTGTGATGCCAGCAGGGTTAAAGCTGAAGTTTTAAACAGGATTAGTGGGAATACTGATGCGTACAGCTCACCTGCTCGCAGACAGCTCAGTGAAACAGAGGCCGTAGGTGACTACTGCTGGAGGTCTTAGGGATAGGTTTTACACCCTTTCATAAATCTGAGCTTTACATCTTATCACCATGGCGACAAAACCTTTCTCGATAACTTTTTTTGGTGCAGTGACTCATGCTAAACCAGTACTGAAGGAGATGTTCCCAAACTTGTGTTGAAATAATTGGTATTCACGCATGTGCCTTGTATTACAGGGCTGATCTTCCCTCAAACTCTGTATTTTGAGAAAAGATGCTTAGTAACTCCTGAAGCAGCACTACAGCATTGCCCCTCTGCCCTCAAGTAGCTACTCTTACCTGATCCTAAAGATGCTTTTTAGCCCGCAGGTTACATGATTTAGCTCTAACCTTTACATGATCTCTCAAGTCACGGCTGTACCAGTAACTTTGCCGCTGGCAAAGCAAGGAATGGCCACGGCGGTTCCTGAGTTGGGAAGTGAACACAGCGAAAGCCAGAGCAGCTCCCTGGGCTCAAAGGGTCACGCATAAAATTGCTTGGACAGAACAAGCTGTTACTTAAATTACATCAAACACAAAATCCTGCCAATCTACAGCTGTGGCAGCACCACGACACGGAGTGCATGTGCGAACCGAGCAGCAGCTTCAGCTGTGAACATGAGATGCAGCAATGCCGTTAGCACCGCACCGATGTCTCGGCAGTTGGAGAAGCGACTGACTCCTGGGCAACGCGGGTGGGACAGTCCCCATCCTCTGGCACTTAGGAGGTAAAGGCAAGGGCAGTTGGCTGCTGGTGCAGGTTTGCTGGGTTGATGTGTGCTGGGGGCTGATGTTTTTCAGCAGCGGAGCTGTAAGCACGTTCTGTGCCTGAGGAGCCGCGTTGCCGGCCCCTCATCTCGGCGCCGCAGGTAGGAACCAGCAGCCACGTATCTGTTGCTTCTCAGCCTGCTGCTTTTTCCCCTTCAGAACAAAACAGTCCCTATGAAATTGCTGAAGAGAGTTCATGTTTATTTCATTTAAAAAAAAGCTCTTCAGATAAGGGGAATAAAGTTACTAAATTCAAAACCTAATTTTTAATATTTGGGATTTCAA